CACATACAGCTGCTGTTTGACCCATTGGGAGAAACCTATCATCCATAAAGGCGACCTGTATTTCTCCCAGCAAGGCAAACAGTTGCTCTAGGGAGCTGTGGGAAATGACATGGTAGTGGGAAGGGTTAACTCTCTTCCCTCCCTTGCGGCCCAGATCTGAAGGGGTGGTGGTGCAGCTGCTATTTATTACTCCATTATTATTCAAATATTATTCGCTTCACATCTTCCAGTGTCTTGTCTAATCTGACCTTCAGACTCTTGCAACTCTGTAGTGGTGAGATTCTTTAAAAGTCCCTGCAACTCTGAACACAGCAACTAATTTCTTCTGTGAAAATACTGGGGACAGAGCCGCTGTGTTTCTGGTTTGAGGTGTTTCCTGTCAGCACATGGCCAGCATAAAAGTTTTTTTGTGTTACAGAATGGTAGCGAAGGAGCTGACTTGCTGGAGGAATGCATGGTTGAGGTGTGCTTTTGCATAATGTACCTGGAGTTAATTTGGAAGGGTAGGCGGGTGGCTAGCAGATTACCTTGGCTTCCAAGGGTATGAATTCATGTTCTTCCAATTTTGAACAGATGGCATTCTTCCCAGTTCTGAATGTGGTGAGATGGTGTGTTGATATTTACACAGTTACCCTACATTATCTGTAGGATTTGAGATTTTGGGGGATTGTTTTGTAAAACTCCCCACCAAATTAAATCTGTAATTTTCAGAGGTGCAGAGGCAGAGAGAGGTCTTTTCCCAAACCTGTTCCCTGGGATCCTTAGCTGGAGATGCCAGGAACTGAACCCTGGACCTTTGGTACACAGAACATCTGCTCTATCTCTGGGTGACAGGCCCTTCTCTAAAAGCACTTTGTTTTAGCTCCAGCATGCGTTTGTCCATGTGGTCCCCTGCCCTTTGGATATGCAAAGAGTATGGCAGAAGAGTAACTGTGGGGCTTGCTCTAACTACAGATTTTCTGGGGGAGGGGGTGAGTGAAAAGGACAGGGGGATCTTCTTTGGCACAAGCCCTCTGTGTCCTTAAACCTGGCCTAAGTATGGAGGACTGTTTCCAGGGAGGGACTCTTGGCTGATGATATTAACTCTCTCTCTGTCTCTCTCTCCCCATGCAGAACAAAGAGAAAGAAAGGATGAAGGAGAAAGAAAAAGATGCCCGCTACACCAATGGGCACCTCTTCACTTCCATCACAGTTTCTGGCATGACCATGTGTTTTGCATGTAACAAGAGCATCACGGCCAAAGAGGCGCTGAGTTGTCCCAGTGAGTATCACATTATGTGTGAACTTGGAAGGAGTGTAGGGCAGGTATGCTCCCTCCCCAATGCTTAAGTCAGGAACTACTACCGGTAGCTTCCACATCTAGAGAAAGGATGAAGAGTATGCCCACTTGGATTTCTCTCACAATTAAGTTTTTCTCGGGTTCGGGGGCTGAATGAGTGCCACATTTGAGGCTGGGAAAGAATTCCTACTAGGCCAAATTAACAGTGGCCCTGGAAAGGTAGATGGGTGGGTGGGGTGCTTTATCAGCATGCACTATGGCTCACTTGCATGAGTCATCCAAACTATTTGTTTTCCAGGCACCATTCTGCAGGGCAGCATGCTTTCTTCTTGTATCTTTCAGTGCCGTAGCTAGTGATTTCTGCATCGGGCTGGTTTGGTAGTGTGAATCATTTTGGCTTTTTGATTTTTTTAAATAACATTTATATCTTTCACTGCCAACCAACAGTTTCTAGGGCAGTGTTTTTGTTTTCTCAATTTCACACCAATAATACTGTGGAGAAAAGTTTTTTACAGTTCTCTACTGTGGGCACCCAGGGCCTATGAGAAGCTCCAAGGACAACCACTCTTCCTAGAAGAAAAACAAATCTTAAGAAGTGAAGGGGACAAGGTTGTTACTCCAGTGTATAGAATCCCATGCATTTCAAGCAATTTGCTTGTCATCGAGGAAATGAAAAAGGACTTTGTTAACTTGTTCGTACAAAGAGCTGCTGCCATTACATTCCTGTAGTAATCACTGGATTGGATTTCTTTTTCCCCTTCTTATGTCCCTAGGGTTGGCAAGTGTTACTCACGATTTAGCGGGGGGAGTCTCGAAGCTCCCCGGGAGTCGTCTTGTGCACATGCCACGATCACATCACCCAGAAGTGACGTCATCGCGTTGGGGGTGGGGCCACAATCATTCGAGGGAAAACCATAGAGTTTTCCCTGGAATGATAGAGCATCCCCCTGCAACGTGCCTGACATGATGATGTCACCTCCGGGTGACGTCTTCACGCCGGGCACGTCTCACACTTTGGGGGTGGGGTTTCCCCTGGCGGCCCAATCTGGGCTGGCGAAGAATGGGTCTATCGAGCAGGGGTTTCCCCACCCCCCGGGGGGACCTAGCAACCCTATATGTCCCACATTGCTTTTCTCCATGGAGGTCTCATGATCCTCAGCAGAGCCTTTTAGTAATCAAAGGGAACCCCCTCCTGCCTTTTTCACAGGTGGAAAAGTTGGTTGGATCCAACTCACTGATGGGTTACAAAGTACATACGTGCCATGAAGTCACAACCAACTTATGGCAACCCCAGCAATGGGCTTTCAAGGCAAGTGAGAAGCAGCGGTGATTTACCATTTGCTTTCCTCAGTAGAGTCTTCTTTGGTGGTCTCCCATCCAAGTATCAACCCTGATTAGCTTATAAGATCTGACAATATTGGCTAGGTTATACCACTCTGCCTTCCCTTTCAATGGATTAATTGCTGATAGTGATTATAGGGCTGAGTGGATTCCTATAGTTTGTTCAGTGTAGGAATTAGTTCTTCACCAGTCCTGGGGATTTGATCCAAAGATCTTCCATAGAGTTTTTCAAGCTACAGGGGAGTAGAATCCATGAGAGGATATGGTCCACTTCCCTGCTCCCCCCGCTTTGACCCATTTCCTCCCATTGTCTGCTGGGCGCAGCACTATGGAGAAAAATTTCTTATCCTATCACTTAGAGAGATGGTTCTGCAAATGCCTGGATCACATCTGAGACATAAGAAGTGCACACTTCACTTCCGGGCTCAGAAATGGAATTTGGCACTTACAGGACCATCTCTTACTCCAAAGATGAAGTCTCCCGCTCTGACTTGGTCAAAGTAATCTTTGGACTGCCTTTGCAATGGAATTCAATTCAGTGCGTAGGACAAGGGTGTGGGGACCCTGATTTGATTGTGACATTTGAGCTAATTGCATTTTTTAATCATAGTGGTCATTGTAAGAAGGAACTGGTTGCAACTCCTTTTAGATCAATTTAACAAGATTATTTTGCATCCCCAATTCAGGCTAATTGTTTGAAACACATTGGGATCTACACCTTTGCAGAAAGAGCTTGTCCTTTGCACTTGTTATATCTGGGGGGGGTCTCCTTTTTGGGGGTGCTGCCCCTGTGATGTGCTTTGCCATTCTTCCTGGCCTCTCTATCTGTGCAATCCTAAACACACAACCGTCTAAATTTATTAAAAAGTCAGTGGGGGCTTAGAAGGGTGCAGCTCTTGTTTAGAATTGCACTCTCCCAGCAGTTTGATAGCTCCGCAAGCCAGACTTTTATGAATGCAAATCTCCCCACTCTTCTGCAAGGAATAATAAAGAGGTTGGAGTTCATAAAGCACACTCTCACTTTCCCAAGGAATGAGAAGTGTAGAGGTAACTCTACAGGGCTTAGTTTCCTTTCAAAGAGAGAACACTGGAGACTTAATACACCTTTATAATAATTGCTTTATTAACAAACATATAAGCTGATCACAATGGAAGCAAATAACCCCCTACAAGAGGCTGTAAAACCATTGATCTTGCATCAGTTCCCAAAGCAGTAGCGTGGAGCTCCTTCAAGTGACTTTCCATCCAACTGCATTCGCAGCTCAAAAACTCTCTCGTTTCCAAACCTGCAGCTCCAGTTTTCCCCACGCATACCAGGAATGCAGAGCACTGATTTCACACCCCACCAGATTTCTTTATTTCTTTATTATTTACAAGATTTATACCCTGACTTTCTGCCCTCATCAGGGCCACCATGATGACTAACTGATTAAAAACATACATAATAAAATGACATCTTAAAAAATTAAAACCAACAACCCCCCCATTATTAACACTTTTAAAACTAAAGCTAAAATATGCATACAAAAACATAAAAACAACAATTAAAAACATAGAGCAGGAAGGAGGGATCTCTAAAGGAATGTCAAACAAAACAGTCATCATCCACTGGTGGAAAATGGCATCAGAAGGGAATGGATAAATCTCCTGGGAGAGAGAATTCCAGTGTTTTGGTGCCACAACTGAGAAGGCCTTCTCTTGGGTTGCCACCTGTGTAATCTCAGAAAGTGTGGGCATCTGAAACAGAGCATTGGAAGATGACTGCAGTGGTCAGGTACATTCATAAGGGATTAGGCAGTCCTTCATGTATGTTGGTCCCAAGCCATAAAAGCCTTTACAGATCAAGATCAACACCTTGAGTTGTGCTTGGAAACAGATGGGAAGCCAGTGTAAATGGGCACAGATGGGAGTGACATGGTTCCTAGAACCCAACCATGACTCCAGTCAATATCCTGGCTGCAGCATTCTGCAACAGTTAAAGTTTCTGAACATTTTTCAAGGGCAGCCCCATGTAGAGCACATTGCAGTAATCTACTCTAGATGTAACCATGGCATGCACCATGGTAGTCAGATCTTTTGTGGTAAAAGGCACTCATAGTCAGAACTGCCACCTGCATATCCAGCAGTAGGCCTGGATGCAACAGTACCCCCAAACTATGGCCCTGTTCCTTTAAGGAACAGATAAATTCAAGAGAATAGTTCTTGAGGAAGCATCAGTCAATCGTACCTATCTGTTAGCAAGCAATCCTATTTATTAAAGATGGCTCTCCAGCAGCTGTAAGAATGGATGTGTTCTTATCCAAAGTAAGACCATTTGTCTGCTCAGCATTGTCTACTCTGCCTGGCAATGGCTCCACAAGATCTTAGGAGATCCCAAATAACCTAGGGGGAAGGGGCAATGAAGCTAGTACTCTGCTCTTCAGCTCCCCTGAGATCTTAAGCACCCTGGTGCAAACTAGACAATAGAAACACTGCTGTATTTGAAGACCTGACTTGCAGCTTCTGCAGGTGGCTGAAGATGCATCTAGTCCCACTGCTATGAGAGGCCAAACCCATTATCGCTCTGATGGACAGGTTAGCATCTCAGTAGGTGGAAGTTTTAAATGCCCCAGCTGCTAGAAATAATAAAAGATAACTGATATGATTAGATGAAACATCATTACATTCTGCAAACTGCCTTCCCCTGCTCCCCCGGAAGCACTGGAGATAGGAGAGAGACATTCACTCAGCAGTGATGTGGGGGCCTACAGTCAGCTCCCTCTTCCTGATGCAAGCAGTATCAGTTCTAGCATGTCGGTGGTTTTGTGGTTTGGGGGCGGGGTTGCCACATTTTGCCACATGCAAAGTCAGTTTCATGCAGATGTTCGTGTCCTGTTCTGTTATCAATTTTACCAACTTGCTATTATCAAGAATCATCTCACCATGCTCAAAACGAGAATTGATTGAACATTAAACTTTCTGTCATCTGTTCACTCCTGTAGCTGACTTCTCAAGTGAAGTGGGGCTGAGTGAGAAGGAAAGAGGGGCTTTAACCTTTCAGCCCTGGCTTGGTTTAGCCACTGAGAATGATCTAACACTGAGGCATCTTTGTGCTGCTCTTAGACATTTTGGATGTGAAAATACATCTCCTTTTAAACCCTGTCTCCCCCCTCCCCTTAAAATGCTGATAATGGTGCAAGAAGTTCACTTTCAGTTAGTGAATCTGAGTGAATCATGAAGGGTTAAATCCACTCTTCTCTTTCTGTACAGCCACACTTTGAATCATGGCTGTACATGCAATTTACTTTTACAGTCTAGTGGAGATTCATGAACTCCATCTCTTCCTAAGGAGTAAAGTAGTATAAGACATCAGCGTTGAATCATGGATGTATTGGTTAGGGTGGCCTGTATCTTACCCTCCAAGCATGGAACATTGATTTTGCCCACATCCCTCCCCATTCCTGCAGCCCATTCTGACCCCCGAAAGGTGGTTCCTGAAGTTGTGATACTCATGTGGAGGAATAGCTTGGGGGCTGGACTGAGGAAGGAGGAAGGGCAGTATAACTACTATGTGTTCACCTTCAGCAGAGGTCTACTGGCAGAAGAGGAGGAAATGGGTGGTTTCACCCTCTTCCTTCTTCTCCTAGTTAGCATACTGACTG